CGCGATCAGAAGTTTTTCTAAGGGATTTTGTCCATCTTGAGGTTATTTTGGGGGGGCCAGCCTAAACCCCAAAAACTCCCCAGGCAAGAGGGGCGGGATGGGGAATTCTGGGAGTTGAAGTCCACCCATCTTAAAATGGCTAAGGTTGAGAAACACTGCTTTATAGCATCTGTGATCCGTGTTGAGTGATGCACTTTGTGGATGATCTTGCCTGTTCTGAGGTTTTTAGAAGTAATTTTCTGATAACTGAGCAACCTTAATAAATAGTTCGACTAAGTGACAAGTAAAACTAGTCCAAAATCTTCTTCTCTGGCTTCTACTGTTTTGACATCTTGAGTCTGTCTTGGTTATGAAAAATCCAGAATCTGGACTTAAGAAGGCAGAGTCTTTTCTGGTCTATCTTTTTCTCTGTGTGTGTGTACATGAGAAACATTTTGCTCTCTTAATCCATTTCTTTTTCGTCTTTTTAGTGGAGAAATAGGGAAACAGAGTTCCTTTCAGAGACCAACTTAATGTAAAACAGACTTTAGCACTTCAAGGAAGGATGGCTAAAAGAGGGAGGCAATGTTGGGATGTCTCCATATATAGAGAGAGATATGTAATTTCTAGGAGGAAATAATTTCATGATTCAGTCACCTTGGAATTTTGTAATGAAAGAAGTTGAGACACTGTAGAAGTTTGCTTTCATTTAATTGAATACGCTCTGTTGGATAATTCTTGTTTTGCATTAACAGAAGAAGTTATAATATTTTCTCTCCAGCAAAATTACCTTTCTTGCATGGAAATAAATTAGAATTATGATTTTCTTATACTCATTTGATACACTTGTGTTACATTTTAAGCAATCAGCGATTGTCCAGCAATCAAGTATAATGCCAGTCATGAAAAGCAGATGCCTAAAATCATTCTTAAGTAGCATAATATGCTAGTAAATAGTTATGCTATTATGAAACAGCTTTGTGAAATTCCGTAATGATAGGCCTTTCATATTAACTGATCTAAAATATAAATCTTTTCCCAGAAGCTATAGATACAGTTATTTAAACTGATACTGAAAGCATATATTTATGTGATTAATGGAATGAATTTAATTATTGGGACTGTGCACAGTTGGAACATTATTCAGAAGAGCTTAGAATCTTGCATGAGCTCAAGCACGGTACCTTTCTGCTATTCTAACTGTCAGGCTTCTGAGTGAGCCTAAAAAGGTGCTGCTGTTTTAAGCATCACATTAAAGGTAATGAATTGATGCCCTTAAGCATTCACATCTTTTTTGGACTCCCATAGAAGCCTGAAGAAAGAGGGGCTGCTTTAGTAAATGGCAGGGAGGTTCTGAAGCGTTTAATTATTTTTGAAGCATGGGCAGTCCAGTTAAGGGTGCCACTCTCATCCTTGTGAGTTCTCTCTTCTGAATGTTCAAGGGCAGCTGAATGTGAGCGTATCCTTTATTACCTTTCTGTACAGTGTCTGGTTAGATTGCATAAGCCTTAAGATTACACTTATTGGTGTGATGAAAATCTTGCAGTCTTGTGACTATCATTTCAGCAATGAATGTTTTCTGAATAAAAATTTAAAATCTGCATTTTTCTTCTGCAATAATATATAAAAATGAGAGTGCAAGCCTGTGGGTACAGTTTCTTACTGAAATTGATGGCACCCTCTTCTAATTACATAGGTAGCATCCTGCTATGAGAGGACTTTTCAATTAATGTGTGAAGTGGTTCCTTGGTAGAGGATCATTTTTTTTAGAATGAAACTTGAAGATGGTACTACTTACACTTAATAATTGTCAGTGCTGCTGGGTAGAATTTTTACTAGAAATAGAAACAGTGGGTAAAGAAATTTTAAGACACGCAGATGGTGGTGGAAAGGTAGTGGGTAGAATGTGAGCAGTGGTAAAAAATGAATATTTGTCCAAAGAATTTAACATGGTTGGGTATGTGAATATGCTTTTGCCAAATTTATTATATAGAAATGAGTGTTGGGTATATCAGGAGAAATGTAAGGGTAATATAGTGGAAATGGCCTATTTAAAACTGTGATAAAGCAAGAAGAGGCAAGATCAAGAGACTGCTTGGAATGGGGCAGGCTATAAATTTGTGGAATAAATGAGAATATATGGTGTTGAATGAATGTGAATTGAATACAAAAATGAGTGAGCAGTATAAAAGAAGAATGGTGAAATGGTTTGGTCATATGATGATGATGCTATCCGTTCAGTCATGTGCAATTCTCGGCTATTCTATGGGCCAGCTCTCTCCACATTTTCTGAACTTGTAGAGCTTCTTTCAGTTGTTTTATGCTCTAGTCGGTGTCGCCTTTGATGGTGCATAGCCACTGTGTTTTTTGGTGGCCTCATTTCCTTTTACCGCTGACTAGAGAGAATGTATGAGGATGAAATTGCAAAACAAGTATGTGAAGGAAGAATTGAGGGGAAGGGGAAGACCGAGAACATTGTGGTTGCATGGAGTTGATGAGATCTTCAAAAAGAGACCAATGAGGTATTTAAAGAATAAAAGCTATTGTGTGAAATGGTGTATAGACATGGTAGAAACAAGGATTGGAGGCATATATTGAATGGTTTCTGTGTTAAGACCTTTCCCCCTCTTATTCTTTGCCTTTTAAATGCTTTTGCTTATGTATTACTCTTTCTAAGATTTGCATAACATTGCTTAACTTGACAAGGAATTGCATGACTGGTATGATGTGTGAACCAACACCCCAGAATAGCTGTCATCTTGCCAAAGTTTATCTAAGGTTAAATCCTGAAACTTAGTTGAAATAGTCAATTTGGGTGGTGTAATATACATTATATTATGGTTACACTGAGCATTTAAAATTCACATTATTTGTCTGACATTTAGTATCAAACCTTTAGCTTTCAGCAAAGCCTCAAATCTATCTGGAAGTGTCAAAGGGGAAAAAGTATAGGTAGTCCTCACTTAACGAGGGTAATTTGGACCAGAATTTCCATCACTAAGCAATGCGGCCATAAAGTGTGACATCACGTGATTGCATTGCTTAGCGACAGCAATCCTGGCAGTCCCTGTTGCCATCATTAAGTGAGGACCTCACATGACCAGGGCTTGTGACTTCCTGCTGGCTTCCAACAAGCAAAGTCAATGAGGAAGTTGGCAGAAAGTCACAAGTCCCAGTCATGACAAGCCTTTCTTTAGCAGGCCAGTGGGCGGGTGAGTGCTATGGACTGCTGCTGGGCGGAGGAGGGGGGTACTGCGGTGTGGCATGAGTGCAGCTAGGTGCATGGTGCAGTGTGAGGGCAGCCAGGCGAGAGGTCACCTGCCTGTCCAGGCCTGCACTTGGGAGAAAAAGCAGCAGGAGTGACTTACCAGAGCAACTTGCAACCTTCCCTACCAGGTTTCCCATTGACTTTGCTTGTGGAAAGCCAGCAGGGAAGGTCACAAATGGTGATCATGTGACCGTGGGATGCTGCAATCATGTGAACTGGTTGCCAAGTGCCCAAATTGTGATCATGTGACTGTGGGGGTGCTGGGATGGCTGCAACTTTGAGTACCAGTTGTAAGTACTACTTGTTCAGCACCGTCACAGTTTTGAATTTTGTATGCATTTTTGCATACAAAAATGTCCTCTCAGCTCTTCAGAATTAGACAGCAAGAATGGAATGTTCTGGCAGCGCTGAATGAGATTGTACTGGTGATATGAATTGGTGAAGTTCTTGTTGCAATTATTTACCTTATGTAAGACTCATACTAAAAGATCTGCTTAATGCTGATTTGAACTTACCAGTGCACATCATAAATGAGAGAACATTTTGAGCTTAGCCTTTTCCCTGAGTTGGAAGAAATTATTGTTGTGGGAAAAAATGCCCACTTAAATTAGGAACCAAAGCAATTGGAAATAGATGCATTAAAGTGCGTTTTATTGGCATGCAGAGATTATAATGATCCCTGGGCTCCTCACCAAGGAACTTTAGAAGAGCTGTGAACAAAGCAAGGTTGCAGATTATAGACATTTGGTTTGTTATACTACATAAGAAAGATTAAGAAAATATTGTAAATCACAGCGAGACCCTTTCACTGGAATGCCTTTGATAAGGATGGGCATGAGTTCTTGTTGCAACCAACCTTACTGTGGTGCCCCAGTATTCCTTCACATTATTGAGATTCTATCCTGCTAGATTCCATCAATGTATTCTATAAACAGTAGTGTTTAATGTATCTGCATACTTCCTCCTTTCACATCATTCCGTTTACATTCTAAGGAAAGACAGTGGTCTGGTTTCTGTTATCTGTCATTCCAGGGACACAGCATTAGCCTTCATTTCAAATCTCCTATACAGTTCTACTTTAAATCATGGTTGGACTATTACTAAAAGAAACTAAATGAAGTATAAATGAATAAACCTCCACAAGTATAAACCAAGCAAGTATTAATTATCAGGGGAATCTAGTGGTAGCCTGAGACATTTCAGCGTAGGGGAATTGCAACAGAGCCACCTAGAAGAGATATGTGGAACAAGTGATCCTATTCCTCTCCTTTCAGCTGGAGTGATCTAAAAGTACTTCCAAAAATCAAAGTCCATCTTACATACTCAGAATATACACATGATGTGTGCTGACCTACACTCAGCAGCCTGGGGGCATGTAGGGAACAAAGGTTGTGAGTGTAGTTAAGTGTGGATGTATCCAATGATAAACCAAACAGCAACAGTTTTCAACCTGCCCTAGTTTGCTGAATGCGTTCTGCTCAATCATGATGGCTTTGTCAGATATCTCATATTTCATTCAATCTTTGCATAGTCAGATTTCTATAACCATCAGAATTCAGCATAACTGGAAAATATAAATAAATGAATAGGCTTCAAGAGTGACAGATAATAGCTATTTAGGAATTTCAAACTTCCAGAACTATGGTAAGGGAAAAAATAGGCAAGCCAGTAGATGTGAGAGAATATTTCAAGGTCATATGGTCAAATGGATGGGATACAAGGCTAAAAACTACTTTAAGAACTCATGGCCATAATTGAGATGGTTTCTAAGTATGTTGCTGGCACTGGTGATTAGCAGGGCTCTGTTTTAAGAAAATCTTAACAAATTAAATACAGGATTGAATTTATAATCTGAAACATTTTCCTCTGAGTACAGTGGTCCATTACTGGATAGGAACTTACTACAGAGAAAAGTCTTGTTAGTTTTTTAAAAGGGAAAGTATTTACATTAGTATCGGAATAGCATGATGTCCTTGTAATGTTATTAACCTCATGCTAAAACAAATTCTGACAAAATTCTAAATGAAGAATATAAATCAGAATCAGCATTAAAAGAACATTACACATGAAGATTTAATTCTTTTTAACATTAGCACATGATTTACATGAATTTTATTTTGGGCCATACTTATGATTTTTGGATTACTGGGGTGGGGGGTCTTTGTTAATTAAAAAAAAAATGTATGCACACATCCTTTCTCCTAACTTCTACTTTCAGCTGGTTAAAAATCAAATAGACATAATATAGGTGAGAAAAGTTGGGAAAAGAATAAGAAAATAAGGAGATTCAGGTACTTATTCCTGTTTGGAACATTATTTAATACAAATTAAAATAATTTCTACTTGTACTGAACCTTCTTGCTGAGTGCTTAAAGATATGTAGTGATTAATTCTGTTCTATTTCATTTTTCCCCAGGCATCCATGGGATACTGTAATAAAAGCTGCGATGAGAAAATATCCCAATCCTATGAATCCATCAGTGGTAGGAGTTGATGTCCTGGACCGAAGCCTTGATAATCAAGGAAGATTACATAGTCACCGATTACTTAGTACAGAATGGGGCCTACCAAATATTGTAAAAGCTGTAAGTTATAAAAGCTAGCAATAAGATAAAACAGAAAATGAGTAGAACCTTTCTATTAAATAACTTCCTAAATTATTATATAACCTTTTTTGCTTCTTAAAAGCAGTTACTGCTTTTGACTTTGCATGACTATTTTCATTTATTTATTTATTTATTTATATTTCAAATTTGTCACCACCCATCTCACTGCAGAGCGACTCTGGGCGGTTTACAATAAAAAGAATAAATATTAGTTAAAATAGAATAAATATGAATTAAAATACATTACAAGAAGACTCCCTATATAAATAATAAATATCTTAGATTTGGGGAGCGTCTTCAAGGCGCTAGCCACCCCCAGAGTTGGTTATATCCCCTCTCACCCCATGCGAGTTGGCAGAGCCAGGTTTTCAGCCCTTTCCGGAAGACCAGGAGAGTGGGGACCCACCTCACCTCGGGGAAGAGTGTTCCATAGGGTGGGGGCAACAGCAGAGAAGGCTCTCCTCCTGGGCCCCGCCAGTTGACATTCTTTCATAGACGGGGGTCTGTAACATACCTTCTGTGCCTGACTGGGTGGGATGGATCAATGTAATGGGGATGGGAAGGTCGCTCAGGTAACCTGGTCCCATGCCATGTAGGGCTTTAAAGGTGATAACCAACACCTTGATTGGACCTGGAAGCAAACTGGCACCTAATGCAGCTCCCACAGCAAAGGTGTTACATGTGCCATCCTTGGGGCATCCAAAATTGCCTGCTGGCCACATTTCGCACCAGCTGTAGCTTCTGGATACTCTTCAAGGGTAGCCCCATATAGAGTGCATTGCAGTAGTCTGTACAGGAGATGGCTAGGCCATGAGTGACTGACTATAGTGATAAATACTCAGATATCATCTTGTTAAGAATTACAGTGCACACGAGGAACCATACTTTTAAAGACTTTTGTTTATTGCAAAATTTCTGCTCATGTGACTTTGGTTAATTTCTATTTTTCTTTTTTTCTTCCAGATTCTGGGAACAAATAGAACTGTCACATACATTAAAGAACATTCTGTGGTTGATCCAGTGGAAAAGAAAATGGTACTGAGCTCCACAAATGTAAGTAATTAAGTTCTGTAGTATTTGCTTGCAGGACAAGAGGCTTGCTAAATGCTTGTTCCATATATATATATATATATATACACACACTTACTTACTTACTTACACACTGTTTGAAGATACTCTGAAAAATACAGTTGTAAGACCAAAGTGGTAGACAAGAACAGCACACTAGGTAATACTCAGTATCTCTGAAATAAACCTTAGGAAATGTCATGCTAGGAATTATAGATTTGGGAGGAGGGAGGGCATCCTGAAAGAATCGCAATCAGTTATTCTACTTATACTGAATCTTAGAGTATGAGCCTTAAGACTCTTTAGGCTACAGTCCCCAATAATGAGTTTAAGATTGCAACCTTTGCCATTTTTAAAATGGTCCTTTTATTTAAGGAGTTGCAGAATCTAATTTTAAGATTTTTCCATTTAATATTAATTGTGGTTTTGAGTTGCAAAAGTCAGAAATGATAAAAGAACTAATTTTTGTCTTTATTTTTCTAAGATAACGCTTACAAATCTTGTATCAGTGGACGAACGATTAGTCTATACGCCTCATCCTGAAAACCCTGAAAAGTAAGTTCAGATGTCCTGTTTGATCAAAAGTGTGAAGATTAAGAATCTTTTGAGGTCTAACCCTTTAATTTTTTTCTTTCCATAGAACTCTCCTAACTCAAGAAGCAATTATTACAGTAAAAGGAGTTAGCCTCAGTAGTTACTTGGAAACTTTAATGGCCAATACAATATCGTCTAATGCTAGAAAGGTAGGTATATAAAATCTTTTTATTGTGTTACTGTTGCTACCATGGTACCTTTTTATGAAGTATACGTTGCCAATCTATTGTCTTTTGAGATAGATGGAGTCCAAGATGCCCTCAGTTATAAATCTTTAATAGAAATCAAGAAATAGTCAAAATGCAACACTATTTAGTAGTTTTTTCCAATATGATGCAATCTAGATATTTTGGATTATAACTTTCTTCAACTCCAATCAATTGGCTGGGAGTGATAGGTTGAACAAAAGTCCCTTATTTAACATTTTGAAAACATGTAAACACCAAGGAAAATCACTGTGATGAAAGATTGCCCATTCACACATCTGTGACAGTGGACGTGATCCACCACAAAACCCCAGTTTACCAAAAGACAAACTGGCACCCTCTCTACCTCCTCAAATATTCACTGTCAGCTTAGTTTCCCCCCCCCTTTTTTTTAATGCAGGGGGCATATTTATCAGAAAAGCTTTGGGCTGCAGCTACTCCCCATTTTATTTTCGATGGGTCTATATGGAATCCAGGGGATTCTTAGAAATAAATGTGTTTAGAAATAAAAATGATGAGGCTACTCCTTTGTTTTGCAATGTAGTAGCTTCTTTCTAATTTTATTTTTAAACACTAAGAATGAGGTAAGAGGCTTGAGAATAGACAAAAGAAATTTCTGAGGCATGTATTGAAATCCCAGATCCATCCCATCTGAAGATTACTAAATCGCTGAATGGTGGAGAAACATTACATTAAATGTTCAATATAATTTTTTAAAATAATATTAGGAATAGAAAATGACTATTAATTTACAGTGATGTTTTAGAAAACATTCTTAATATTTAGTGCTTAAGATTCAAAAATGCAGGTAGTAGTGCATGTATACTGATGGTTGGAAACAATGTTCTGTGCTTCCTTTTCAAATACATATCTGTGTGTGTGATGTTGGTTAAAATAGCAGATGTTTACAGCTAAAAGAGAACACATGTGGCTGAGGTATAATCATATATTCAGCCTGATCTTGAATTGGAAATGTGGCAGCTGGCCTCCTGAACATAGATCAAAGAATAGCATTCCTTATTGCCAATTAGCTTCCCCAGTGGGTTGCTCAAGGCACACAGATTTACAGAGGAAGCAGGCCAATCACCGGCTTGCCATTTTTAGCCTCCAAAGTAGGAGAGAGAAGAAAGAAAGGTGTTTATCTCTTCATGTCCTTGGTTTATATTATGCATTAGCAACCGTTTAAGGCAACAGTTACCATTCCGTGATGTGATGTGGGTACCCCCCCCTCCTGAGGGAAGTCTAGGGGCAGGGGAACTATTTACAAGTTATTTAAAATCAAAATGCCCAAATCTCATGGAATATGATGTGAGAAAAGCTTGTTTTTCTCAAGGTTACAGACTTGTAGGCACTATCCAGTGGTGCTGTGTTTCCAGTCTCTAGTTTCTATGCACATGTAATCTGGCTTCTACAATGTGAACTTGTTCCAACAGTTCCATAGATGGTGTCATTAGAGAACCCTCATCCAATATATTTGAAATAGCTAATGGCTGTTGCTTTCTAAGTTCAGAAAGATATGGAAAACATGGGCAACTTTCTTTCTGTTGTGACTGTGTTCCTTGGAAAACAATCTGCTGCTTCAGGGCAGAGCTGAAGTCAAGTTGGGCTGCCCCCTTTTTGATCTCTTTCCCTCACCTTATAGAGGAGTACAGATTGCAGATACCTCCTCTGTTTAGAGTCAGTGATAAATGAAAAATAATTTTTAAGGTTGCAAAACTGCTATTTTAAATGATTGATGCCACCTTTAAAATAAGATGTAATACAGACATTCCATATGTTTGAGACATGTTTGGGAAACCTGTCCCCTCCAGCTGTTGCTGAGCTCCATTGGACATGATAGTTGAAGCTTCTGGAAGTTCTAGTTTTGCAGTATGTGGAGAGGCACAAGTTTCCCATCCCTGCGTTAGTGGGTACGAGAGAGCTAGAATCATAAGCACATAGTCTTTTTCAGTTATTTCTAGTGCAATTAATTTCAAATAATAAATAATTAGGAAGACTAGTCAGTGGTACTTTCATGTAAGTTGACAAGCCTGACAACATATGATTCCCATTTTTTCCTGTGATTTTTGTAACCTTAGATTTGTCCTAATTGCAATTTTGTTCATTGCAGCACTTTATGGAATGTAACTGATGGTTTTGTGGGAGGTAATTCTTATGTCCTTTAGAATTTAATTAGAAATAAATGGCAAAACTGCAACTAAATAGCTTAGTCCTATGAAGAATATTTTTGGAAAAGATACCATATACATATTAGCTGAGATGCTGTTCACAAACCTTTTTGGGGGGATAAACAATCATTTTTACATTTCTCTGCTTGTTCATAAAATTGTCAATGGATTGCTAGTCCTAGTCAGTTGCCTTACTGTTGAGTCGTCTTTACTGTTTTAATGCTGAAACCATTAAACATTTGGCGTGCCTCTGTATTTTCACCCATTCAGCTGAGGCCACTTCATTTTTGTAACCGAGTGTCTAGATGGCAGTTATTTTTTTAGGAATTTGTAACACAAGAGATAATCTCAAGTGAATGTTAACAACAAACTAGCAACAGCACATGTGCTTAACTGACTGACTCTTCAGCATTATTATGATGGGGTGCATATTTTTGTATGCTGTCAAAATCCTGCTTTGCATACAGATAAACTTTTTCTGGGATACTATTGCTTGCCATATCTATGCAATTAAAAATGTTTAATTTTGCTAGAGGCTCTTAGGTTGCAGGATTGATGATGAAATAACTTTTTGCTGCAAGTTATACATCTTTTCTGTGTTACTCCAGGGGTGGGATGCTCTTGAATGGACAATTCAACATTCTGAAAATGTTCTAAGCTAGCAGTCTCTTTCTACAGCTGCATTTTGTACTAACTAGTGGTAATATCAGTATTTGTTACCTTGGTATAGCATTTCAGCTTCTAGCAAGTACATGCATGTTGTTGTGATGTACCTTTAACAAGTTGCATGCCTTTTATATGTATATACACACATTGCATGTAGAGGAACAGTGGCCTTATTCTTTAATTATGGAATCAAGGCTCCTTTGGTATCTAAATACTTTGTCACAGGAAGGTTCTTAATCTAAGGGGGGCAGTTAGTAATGTTATTCTTACATTCTTTGTTGTTCCCTTTTGTGTAAAAAGAATGTTGTTAGAACACTGGAGGAAAAACTTTCTTCTGTCAGGTGCTACATTTCTGGGTTGAACAAGGGAGTAATTGATCAAGGATCACTATTATAGCAGTACACAGCCAATCAAATTGATTATGTTTCGGGTCTGAGCATTCCAAGAGTAGATCTGAAATAACTGTTCAATGAGGCAGTTAGATTCAAATCCTGTGCTGCTTAACATGTACTACTTGAGGTCAATACTGGTTTCAGTTGACTCTGCAGTATATTTCTATAGAAATATGATGCCAACAGTATTTAGGTAATTGATTGATTATGTGCCATCAAGACATTGTTGACTCTTAGCAACCACATAGATAGATTTTGTGCATTATGATCTCTTAACAGAACAGTTACACAGCTTGGGCTGAAAGCTGTACAAATACAATCAGTGTACTCTGGCTATCAGGCTAGGTATATGGATTCTAGCCGCTAGAACTTGACAGGGATAGATGGATGCTCCCCAAACAGCCTTATGATGGGGCAGCCAGTTCTCAGGTTGTTCACATCTTATGCCTTGCCTTTCCTGAAAATACAGCAGAGAAGGTATCAGACTGCATGCATTTCATGATATATCTAAGTCAGGCCATACGGACTATGTTTAACCCATAGAAAGACAAGATTGTTTTCCCCAAATAATATGGGGAATTGGGATTAACAGTGATCATTTTGAAGATTGGGCCTTAGTTGGAAAGGCTACTTGCCTAATGAATGTAACTCTTTTGTGACATCTAAATGGACCTTCTCTCTTTTCTCCCCTTCCCTTGGCCTCATCTCCATCCAGTTTTGTCTTTCACCCTTCCTCTTCTCTTGCCTTCCCTTCTTCTTAACTTCTGTTCATCCTTATATACATATTTTTCTTCTTTCTGCTGGAGATGAACGGAGGGGAATGTGGATCCGCATCTGGAGAGTGGTTTATGTGTGAGAGAAAATGTTTGGTATATGCAGATGGGCTCAATTAATTTTATAAATGGGGCTACTTGCATTACAGGCTATTAATTTTAGTAAGTTATTAATTCAGTAGTCCCAGCTTTGTTCATTTCTGGAATGTGATTTTTTTGACAGACACATATTCAGGTCTGTAAAACACTCATACTTATTGGCAATGTGGAAAATGTTCAGCTGGTGAGTTAACTTGGCTTCCCAAGATGTAGACCCTGAACACAAAGTTTTGTCCAGAATTATATTTTTCTATCTACTTTTTCTTTTGAAAGCTGGAGGAACTTTGCCTTCAATTCAGAATTGTCTTCCTTTTGAGTAAATGCAGTAGATACTGTTACCTTCATTGTTTACAGATTCCTGGTTGCTTTGTGCTTTTAAAGTGAGCAGTTATACAGAACTTTTGGGTTCCACTCACATGTAGCTGCAGGCTAAAGTGATTAGCCTGGTCTTTAGATTACGTAGATGTGCTCTTTCTCTTTTTCGTTCTCCTTTGCATGTAAGGAGAAACTACAAACTGCTAGTTATAATTTGTAATTATGCTTTTATCTAGATTAAAAGCAATGAATGGAATAAACCACCAGTTGCTTTTAATTAGAATATGATAAATTGCAGCTCATTAATTGAGAAGTTATTTGAATCCATACTAATAATGTAATTATGTTTCCTATACTAAAAGAGCCTTGTTTTTGTTTTTCTCCGGTATCTTGTTTTCAAAGGTACACTTTTTAGCATCTGATAGAATTGTCAGTTTTCTGTAAGAAATTTAGGCATGGCATTATTGTGTGAAAATACATTCTTTTCTACCAATATTGGAACAGAATAGTTTAATTTGTGTGCTTAATATCCTAATTTACAGGTAATTAAAATTTATACAAACATAGTATTGTCATTCTTTAAATACTCTCGTTTTTGGAGTGTGTGTATATAGTATGAAAAATAGTACATGCTCACCATATGCTTTCAGTTGCCCTTAAAGTAAAAACCATTAACATTATGTCCAGTTTATACTACCATCATATGCATAAGTATATTAAAAGTGCATGTTTATTGGCAAATCTGCTTGCTTACAGTGTATATTAATATGCTCTTTTGAAGTACTGTACATTGCACACTAATTCTTTGTCAGGATTGCTGTATCCATAACTAAGTTTATTAGAAGTAACCTCATTCATGTGTCTCCTTCAGCTGCTATAAATGAATAAATTGTTCATTGCAACATAAACTTGGGAATTCAGAGACATCAGTTTTAATTCAGTTGACATCAGTTTTAATTGGAATTTGCTTAAATCAAATAGTTATTTCACTTCCTAGATTTTATTTAAATCTACGCCCCAAAATTTTATTTAGCATGGAATTTTGTTCACATAGGTGTCAGATCTGAAGTAATGTTTAAGACTTCTGAAAATTAATATATTGCAAGCATCTTGCACTGTAAGAATGCAATGGTTCCTGCTCTGTTTTGCAATAAACCAGTGAATGTCTTCTTTCAGCATGTTATTTTTCTATATTGATGATTCATTTTAGATTTTTATCTAGAACTTTTAAAAGTAGATTTGAACTGTGTAATTTGCAATGCTCAAAACATGTTCAGACGGACAGTGATTTAAAGATGGTTGGTTTAAGCTGCAAAAATGTTGAAATGTGTGCTGGCTTTTAAAATATGGAAATATTAATAATGAGTATAGTTCTCAAAGGTATGAAACTACCAGAGAAAACATGTAATTGATCTGGATGCTCTTTAATATATATAAATATATATATACAGTGGGGCAAAAAAGTATTTAGTCAGCCACCAATTGTGCAAGTTCTCCCACTTAAAAAGATGAGAGAGGCCTGTAATTTTCATCATAGGTATACCTCAACTATGAGA